ATCAAATAGTCCAGTGGCTTATTCTGCTTGCTTCTCCCCCCATTTATGCCTCTCTCTCTCATAGGATATAATCTTCTTCATTTAAATTAACACCTGCTGATTCTCTAGCCCAATGGTTCTCAACTTGTGGGTGGAGATCCCCTTTGGAGGTCAAATAACCATTTCACAGGGATTTCCTGGTGCATAACAGTAGCAAAACTACAGGGATGGAGTAGCAATGAAAAAAAGTTTATGGTTGGGGGTCACCACCACATGGAGAACTGTATGAAAGGGTCGCAACGTTAGAAAGGCTGAGAACCACTGTTCTAGCCTAATGTGTTCCCTTCACCCTCTTCCCTTCCCACCCTGCTATCACAATCTGTTTCTTTCGGTATAAAAACCTTGATTTTTTTTCAATATATCATTGGTATGATACGACATTTGACCTTTTGTGATTTACTAACTTCACTCAGCATAATTTCCTCCAAATTGATCTATGTCCTGAGGTGTTTCCTAATTTCATCATTATTCTTTAATAATGCATAGTAGTCCGTTGTGTATATGTACCAAAATTTATTTAGCTATTTTCCCAATGATAGTAGTTAGGGTGCTTCCAGCTTTCTTTTGCTGTAAACGTGCTGTGATGAACATGGATGTGCAAAAATGTGCTCGTGCTGTATGGCTTATTTCTTTAGGGAATATAACTAGTCAAGGGATTGCTGGGTCATGGATTTTCATTCCCAAGTGTTTTGGAAAGTGCCATACCCCTTTGCACACTGGTGGCACTATTTTACAGTCCCACCAGTAGTGTGTGAGGGTTCCATTGTCTCTGTATCCCCTACTGCCTTTGCTATTTTTGCTATTGTCTCTGTATCCCCTACTGCCTTTCTTGAAATGTGCTGTCAACACTGGGGTGAGGTGGTGTTGCATCATTGTTTTGGTTAGCATCTCTTGGATGGCTAGTGATCACAGGCATTTCTTCATATTTTTGTTGGCTGTTGGAAAATATTTTTCATTAAACTGTCTACTAAGTTCTCTGCCCATATTTTAATTGGATTCGTCATCTTTTCTTATTGAGAGATTGCTGTTTTCTGTAGATTTGAGAGATTTGACCTTTCTAAAGGTCTAATTCAACATATCATTAGCAATTTTTCCCCAGTCTGTAGGTTCTTTTTATTCTTTTACTGAAGTGTTTAAAGGCACATAAGTACCTTATTTTTAGTAGATCCCAATCATCTATTTTGTCTCTTGTGTTTTTTTGAGTAAGTTTGATAGTGTGTTTATGCCATGTATTAAAGCCTTACATGTGTCCCTGTTATTTCATTGATTACCTTTATAGTTCTAGTATTTATATTAAGGTCTTTGGCCCATCTAGAATTAGGTTTTGTATGTGGAGTGAAGTATGAGTCTCATTTCATTCTTCTGCAGATGGAAATCCAATTTTCACAGAATGCTTTGTTGAAGAGACTATCTTCCCCATTAAATGAATTTTGACACCTTGTAAAAATTAGTGGTCCGTAGGTGCTTACGAGTTGGGCTGCTAGTGGTGAGGTAATCAGTTCAAAACACCAGCCACTCCTCAGGAGAAAGACAAAGCTATCTACTCCTGTAAAGAGTTACAGTCTCGGAGAGCCACAGTTCTACATGGCCCTAAAGGGTCAACGTGAGTCAGAATTGACTCAGTGGTGGTGAGATTTTTTTAATTTGGTGGGGATGTGGATTTGTTTTCAGGTTCTCTATTTTTTTCCACTGGTCTAGGTATCTATTTTACCAGCACTAGGCTGCTTTGACTGCCATGGCTGTTAGTAGGCTTTGAATTTGGGAAGTGAGAGGCTTCCTATTTTACTTGTCTCAAGTAGTATTTAGGTGAGCTCTGGCAGCATTGGGGTTACATATTGAGCTGTGATCTCCAAGGTCGGTAGTTCGAGACTGCCAGCAGATCCGCGGGTGAAAGACTGGGCTTTCTACTCTTGTAAACAGTTACAGTCTCAGTAACCCACAGGGGTCACTGGGAGTCAGTATTGACTGAATGGCATTGAGTTTGGTGAGAGTTTTGAGTAGTATTTACTTATCCTGGATTTTTTTTCCTCTTCAAATAAAATTGGATATTAATGTCTTCCATTGTTTAAAGAATGATACTGGGATCTGGATCAAAATTATATTTTTAGATTGTCTTGGGTGATATCAACATTTTCACAATGTTAACTCTTCCTATCCAGAACATGGAACATTTACCAGTTTATGTAGGTCTCTTTGAATAGTGTTTTTTTTTTTAAGTTTTCTTTGTATAAGTTTTTTGTTTCTTTGATTATTCCTAAGAATTTCATCTTTGGGGTGGATATTTTAATGGTATTGTTTTTTAATTTCCCTTTCAGAGCTCTCTTTATTAGTGTATAGGGATGTGGTTGACTATTTTATGTTGATCTCATAACCTACTACATTGCAGAATCTTTCAATTATTTTCAAAAATTTTTGTTGTCATTGTTGAGTATGAAGATTTATGATTTATAGAATCAGATTCTTTGAAAATAGTTTTATTTTCAAATTTGGATGCCTTTGATTTCTTTTTTGTTGACTAAGACCTCCAGACAAAACTCCCAGCACACTACTGAAAAAGAGTAGCTGATACGGGGCCTGCTTCCCATTTGCAATAAGAATGCTTTCCATTTACCCCATTAAGCAAGATATTGGCCATTAATTTTGGATATATGGCTTTTATAATACTAAGGATCTCCCTTCCGTTCCTGTTCTCTGGAGTGCTTTTATCAGGAATGGGTGCTTGGATTTTGTCAAAGGACTTTTATGTATCAATTGATACGATCATGTAGTTTTTTTGTCCTGTTTTTGTTTATATGGTGTATTACATTGCTGGGGTTTTTGTTGTTGTTTATTTGTTTATTCTTCTAGTATTAAATCATCCTTGTATATGTGGTGTGAATATAGCTTTGTTATGATGTATTATTATTATTATCATCATCATTATTTGGTAGTTTGCTATATATTAAATTTTGTTGATAATTTTTCCATTTATGTTCATAAAGGATATTGGTAATGTATTTGCCTAATTTGGTAAAGTATTTGCCTAATTTGGGTTATAAGTAATGTTTGCTTCAAAAAATGAATTTAGGATTTTGCTATCCTTTTCTATATTCTGGAATAGTTTGCAATAGTAATAGAAGTAGATTCAACTCTTCTCTGCTTGGTAAAATTCCTCAGTGAAGTTGTCTGGCCCTAATCTTTTTTTGTAATTGGGAGTTTTTAAATAACCTAAACTATTCTTTTGCTGTGGATCTGATGATCTTGTCTATATAAGTCTATGCAGGTTGGGTAAGCAGTGTGTTTATAGAAACACATTTCTTCTAGGTTTGGGAGAACAGTCGTACATAGTAATGTTATTAGCTTTCTTTATTTCCGCTGGTCCAGTTGTAAGATCACTCATTTCATCTTTGATTCATAACATTTTTATCTTGTTCTTTGTTAGCTTGGCCATGGTTTTGCCACTTTCTTCTCTTCTTGATTCTTTCTATTGTTTTCTATTTTCTGATTAATTTACTGCTGGTCCAAGTTTTACTGCTCTTCTTCTGGTTGCTGAAGGTTTATTTTGCTGCTCATTCTAATTACTGAAGATGTTAGGTTAAGGCACCAACTTTGGCTCTTCTTCCTTTTTCATTTGTGCATTTATTGCTATAAATTGTCACCTGATTACTCTTTTTACTGTATCCTAAAGGCGTTGGTATGTCTTATTTGCTTTCTTTTATGTTTCAAGGAATTTAAAATTTTCGTTTTTAGTTCTTAAATTACTGAATAGTTCAATTTCTGTGTATTTGATTTTCCTATTGTTGATTTCTAATTTTGTATTGTTTGTATCTGATAAAATGATCTTTAATACCTTGATTTTTAAAGTGTACTAAGACTTGCTTTGTGGTATAAAATATAGTTTGAGCTGTAGAATGTTCCATGTATGCTAGAAAAGAATGTATTGTCTGTTGTGCTAGTAAAGTCCTAGTATTTTGTTTGTAGATGCATTGTGTTGCATAAGTCTAAGAAGTCACGTTGATTAATTTTGTTGCTGTAGGTTATTAAAATAAAAGAAAGTAGATGAAGTATGCACAAAATGGGCGGGTGGGTGGGATTCTAGACAGTCTTTGCATCAGCCGTGGACCCAATGTGCTCCAGGGGACTGAAGTTCCAGGGCCAGTTTGGATGATCCCCGCCTTGATTGTTTCTGAGTGCACAAATATGCCTCTCTGGGTGCCAGCGTGCCTTGGGGAGCCCAGGATGTTTCAATCCCCTTTTCATTAGCCTCTAATGCTGTGTGGAATTTCTGTGTGGTCCACTCTTCTTTCAGACTGGACTGTCAGCCCTAAGGATGTTGTGGGAAGCAATGATTAGCCTCTTGGTGCCTTGGTTAGGGGCTGGTCACTCTTCCATTTACCTGCAATTTGGGGGATCCAGAGGGGAGGCCATCTTTCACACTGTAAAGTGCCAGAAATTGATCGTAGTTGTAGGAACTGCTGATTAGTTCATGATTGGCTGTCTGAGAATTCGGTGTTTCCCTTTTGGGTGGTGGGGCTTTGGAGATTCAGCTCACCACCAGCCAACAGAGAATTCATCAGTAAGCTCAAGGTCTGTGTATGGATTTTGCTCCTTGTTTTCTCTATCAGTAAGCTTTGCTCACGCAGTCATCCTACCCTCAGAGATACGGACTCCAAGTTTCTTCTCCACTTGCACTTTCTGATGTCATTGTTATAGAGACTATGTGCAGGGAGTCTTTGTATGTCACCATATTACTGGAAGTCCCGAAGATTTTTGTCTTTTAATCATTGAGTTTGATTCAAGCCAATTCATAGCAAGCATTCATGTATGGTCAAAAAAGAAAACTACATAAATATTTTTGAAAGGTAATTATGGTAGTTACATAGAAAAACAGGGTAGGTGCGTATAAAAATAATCTTCATTCCCTTGGGATAGAAATCATGCACGTTTAACCTTACCAATAATCTTATCATTATTATCTACAGATGGGGCACACTGAGAGGTGCACAGGGACAGAAAGAAAAATTTTGGGTATGTAACTCTTCCCAATTGAATTCCTACTATGAAGAGAGTAGCATCTTGTATCTCCCTGATTTGCAATATTTAATCACACTCTATACCCCTGTAATATTGGTCAAATATTGAATACCTGTATATAGACACCTGCACTAGGGATTAAAAATAAATAAAGTTGAACAAACCAACAATAACAGTAATGTGTCATTGTAAAATTTCACAATATATTATCAGACTAAATTTATATATGGCATTTTAATGAAATATATTTAAGTGGTCATTCATCTCATAATAATAAAATGTTTAGATACAGAATTAACTTCATTGATTAGTGCATATAATTCACAAGCGTTTATAGCACATAACACTTGGTAACCGTGGAGTGAATGTCTGAACATACAGAGGGAAACTGGTAGTCTTCCTACCATTTCCACCCTAGAGTTCAAATTATATAGAAATATAAATACATTGATAGTATATACACATGCACACATGCACACACATTCTCATATGTTCAACATGTGTACTCTCTTCTTAACTACTTTTATTTTGGTTAATTTTAATTCTAAGCTTACTACTAATAAGATATTTTCAAGGAAAATTTTATCACATAACATCAGGGACAGAATTTCTTTCTGATGTTATTTGGATAAATTGTTTCATGTAAATGTTAGTATTACAAAAAATCAAATGAAAATGTATTATTAAATTGCACATTTTGTTTAATATTTTCCCCCATTAGAGTACTAACTGTTCTTGGACAAATATAATCTCTGCTGTATATACCAGTATATTCCTCAGGGGGGAAACACAGTAATTTATACCTTGTAGGAATAACAGGGTAAGTCAAAAAAGTATTGCTACTCTAGGTCTTCCCTGCGTTGAGCTATTCTGGACAACAAATCTGAACACTCCTCTCGGGTCACCAGCTGTCGCAGAGCTGTTCTCCCAGGATTACACTCATTTTAGTCCAATGAGAGTGCAGTGAGCAAAACAATTCAACCAATGCATTCTGGAAAAGTATTTAAATCACTACAATATTTATTCTATACACAACATGACACTAGTTCAGTTACTCTTAAAAAAAGCTTAAGTGCTTTTTTGTCAAGAATTGTGAAGGGTGTAAGATGTTATTTCTCTTGTTATTTACATATACATATAAAAACGTATGCAGAGACATTAATCACTTAGGTCAGAAAAAGAAAAGAGTCCTAATTCATACTACAGCCAAATCAATAGCTAAAATAACCCTGAGACTTGATCTTTATACCTTAGTCTTGTACATGATGTTATAAGAACCAATGTGGTCTTTCTACATAAGGTATACAAGAAACTAAAACTGTGGTTTTTTTTACCCCAGTGATATTAGCAATGGAGAGTATTGAACTGCTGACCACAGAGTCAGAGGTTCAGAACCACCAGCTATCTGATGGGGCTATCTGCCTCCTAAAGATCCCCTGTCTCTGAAACTCTAGATAGGGTCACTATGGGTTGGAATCGACAAGATGGCAGTGAGTCTGGTTTGCTTGCTTGAACATGCAGGATAGAAACAGCTATCTTCTTTCTTTTACAAAATAGAAAATCTTTTTTAAAAAAATTTTATGAGGAGATAATGAAAAGCCTCCTGAAACACCCAAACTCACTGCCATTGAGTCTGTGCGAACTCATAGAAAACCCTGGGTGGATTTCCAGGACCGTAATTTTTTATGGGCGTACAAAGCCCAGTCTTTCTCCTGTGGAGTGGCTATCGGTTTCCAGCTGCTGAGCGTCGAGATCCCAGTCCATCAGGTTACCACTGCACCACTAGTGCTCCTTCTAAGGGCCAGATACACGCTATACAATTCCTCCTACTGCTGGACCTGGTCCTTTCTTATACATGAATACCTAAAGAGATAGGTGCCAGAATCCTGACTCCCACCCAGGGACCCAATTTATGACCCTCTCTGAACTGTAAATATTGGAGATCTTGGTATTTTTAAAGATCATGTCAGTTCATCAGATATATGACTACAGGTCTAATTCTCATAGTGTGAGACAAATAAAATATGTCTGGGAGAAATGAAAGCAGCATCTCCTGTCTTTACATCATATACACTGTGCTTGTGTGTCAAGATACTAGGATGTTTTGAAAGAGCATTGAGATATGGATGTATATGTATATGGATGTTTCAAAATATTGACAAATGTGACAACAATATAATAAATTATGCTAAGATAAATAATGAATTCTAATACTGGATAAGATGTAAATGTAAGCAACAAGCCATAAATGCCACAACCAAAGTAGAAGAAAACAATATAATTAATTACCCTAATTTACATATTTTTTAGAGAAAAAATAGTAGAGCTGAATCTGGAGAGGATTTTTTTCCCCTTTAGCATCTGCTAGGTCTGGATACAGATCTTGAAGTGAGCTTGCAACAGTCAGAGAGATTACCATTGTTAAAAACATCCACCTGAAATGTTTCCAGAAACCAGGCCAAACTCATTTGCCATAGAGGACTCTAGGGAAGCGCAAATGACACCAGCTTTGGTTCCTATGGAATATCTGCTAACTACTGAAGTGGATGAGTGGCTACTGAGGCAAGATGGAAAGTCAGACAGAAATTTCCAGGATAGAAATGTTTGGTTAAAAAAAAAAAATCTTGAAGGGAACCAGAAACAAACACATGACAAGAATAATCTTCAACATATTTAAAGTCAAACATGGATGAGGTTCAACATAAACTTGAATCCAACCCTTACCCAACCTGAAATCCTGCTGGAGTTGAAGTGAGCAGTCTCTCATGATATTTACCTAAAAGAAAAGGGCTAATCTTTTTTTTTTTTTTTTTTTCAAAAAGTGATTCTAATATCAGCCTCATTCATAAAATCTACAAAATATCTAGCATAAATTTAAAAAAATAAACATCAGTCAGAAAAAGTGACCAAAAGTCAAGGGAAAAATAATCAATAAATGATTCTACAGATAAACTCTTTAAAAGGCCAAATAAAAATTTTAAAATATAGGTGAAAAGATAGACAATTTCAATCTATATAATAAAATTAACTCAAGTAAGTATTTGCTCTCATGATATTTACAGTCTTAGAAACCCTCTATAGGTTTGCAATTCAATGATGTTTATCCCTGAGCATGCTCAACTTCTCTTAACACTCTTCAGCCTCATGGGCTTCCAGTCTGCTTCTCTTTTATGATCGAATGAGATGAATTTCATTGGAATATCTCCCACGGACTCTTTCGCACCATGATTTGGTGTTTAATCTATTACTGTTGCCCCTTACCTAGATCTCCTTTCCTTCCGTAAAAAAATGGGGGATGCATAATTTTTATTTAATATATATCTCAGTGGCATGTCCTCCCAGGAAATTTTCCTGAAGCACCCAAACATGAGGATATCCCTCTGTTCATTTGAACATCATCCTGTGTAGATGATGTTCATATGTCCCTTGCTTTATGTTGACTGTTCTTTATTAGCCCATAACTTCCCTGTGTACATAATATACTTCCTGGTTACGCATGTAGTAGACATTCTATAAATGTTGCTTGAACACAGTCTTCTGATGTGAAACTTCAAACTCGCATGTGTATGCGATCCTTGTTTTCTGAAAGTGTTATGCCTATTTTGGTTATTACCAAGATGGGATACAAGCATATTAATGAAACTGTTGATCAATATAATTGCTTTATTCTTATTTAGAAAATAATTAGAGTGTTAATAAGCACAGTCTATAAAATGCTGAAAACAGTTGAAACTGTAGGAGTTTCCTGTGCTTTTAGAGGAAGGAATAAAAATATACCAAAGAATAATATTTAGCTTTTTCATTTTCTGTTTTTCTGCATTTTCAGATTGCTGCCAATTCTTGGGGGAAGTCATGGGGAGAGAATGGCTATTTCCGGATTCTTCGAGGAGTAAATGAATCTGACATTGAAAAGTTGATCATTGCTGCTTGGGGTCAAGTGACAAGTTCAGATGAACCATAAGATGACATTAAATTCCCATATGGCTGTGCATTTAAGTAACCCCTTAAACTAAAGTCTAACAATGTTTAACTAAAGTTTGACACCAGTTGAATGTTTATCTTTTTATCCTGTGATTAGAATATACCTGTTTCCTTGTTTTACACCAGACTCCATGTGACTGCTTCTTTATCTTAGTGCATCTATGAAAGCCTAAATACAGCACAGCAGGGTATCCAGAGGCCTTTAAAATGCCAACTTGTCATCGCCTACTCACTACCTCCTGCCTGTGTCCTCTTTCCCGTCAATAATTTTCACACTGTGTGATGGCAACTATCTTAAAACTATGGAACCCAGCTTGCTCTCATTGACCAAAGGGGGCTTTATTCAACTAAAATGGAATGAAAACTAACCAACTTACCATCTTTACCCCTTGGTCTTTCCCACTAAATTGCGTTTTCTTAATTAAGCCCTTGCTTATGTTTCAATAAAAGAAGCAGAGCTAGATTACAAATCAATTCTCTCCATCCACCAATATATTGTTTCTTTTCATTTGTTTAAGTCTAGCATGTAATCAGGTCACAAAAAGCAAAGTAACTCTCCATGGG